CTTGCATATCAAGTTCTATATTGAAATGGGGCTACTGAAAATACCATGACGTGGGTCAGGCACATGTTAGTCTTCAAACTGATATCTTTGCTCTTAAACACTTTAAGTAGGTCTTGTGCAGCAGATTGACCTAACGCAATACGTTGTTTGATTTCTTGACTGCATGCTTACATGAGAGGTATTGGTGGATCCAAGAAAAATGAAGTCTTTGACAACTTTAATCTCTTCTCCATTTATCACAATGTTGTTTATTGATCCACTAATGAGGATTTGTTTTTCTCTTTACATTGAGGTGCAACCCAGACCGAAGGCTGTGGTCTTTGACCTATATCAGCAAGTATTCTAAGCTCTCTTTCATTTTCAGCATGTGAAGTTGTATCATCTGCATATTGCAGGTTGTTTATAAGTCTTCCTCCAATCCTGATACCACGTTCTTCTTCATATAATCCAGCTTCTCAGATTATTTGTTCAGAATGCAGCTTGAATAAGTATGATGAGAGAATACAACCCTGGTGCACACCATTCCTGATTTTAAACATGCATGTGTGTATATATATATATATATTGTTGCTATTGTTGTTAGGTGTTGTTGAATCATTCTGACTCGTAGCATCCCTGTATAGGATTTCTGAAAATATTTGAAGAAGCAGAAAGCCTCATCTTTCTCTTGTGGAGCAGCTCCTAGGCTTGAACCACCAACTTTGTGGTTAATATTCTCAACCCACTACCACTGAGTCAGTTCTAACTCATAGAGACACAGTATGACAGACTAGAGCTGCTTTGTAGGGTTTCTGGTGCTGTAAGCCTTTCCAGAAGCTGGCACATTTTTCTCACACACTGTTTTAGTGGGTTCAAACCATTGATCTTTTGGTTAGCAGTCAAGTGCTTAACTACTGTGACATCAGGGTCACTTATATGTACTTATATGTGTATGCATATATATCCAGCAACCATATATCAGTTTGTCCAATATTCTGCTTCTTGCTTTGACTATATAATATTATAATAATATACCTTTCACAATTTCAAGACACTTAATTTGCCTCTTCTTTTCTAAATGCAATGATATGACTTGTTCCACATCCTCTTCTGAATCCTGTTTGAATTAATGACAGTTCCCTGTCACTATATTGTAGCCATTTCAAATTATTTTCAGCAAAATATTACTTGCATGTGATATTAATGATGTCTGTATTCCATTGGGATACCACTCTTTTAGAATGGAGACAGGTATGCATCACTTCCATTTGGTTGACCAGGTCGCTGTCTTCCAAATTGCTTGGCATGGATGAGTTCGTACTTCCTGTGTTGCATCAATTCATTGAGAGATATCAATTTGTAACCCAACTCCTGGAGACTCATTTTTCACCAATGCCCTCAGTGTAGCTTGGACTTCTTCCTTCAGTACCATCAGCTCTTGCTTCCTATGCTATGTCTTACCATAGTTGCACGTCAACCGTTTCTTTTTGGTGTAGTGACTGTGTACACCTTCCATGTTCTATTGATGATATCTGTATCAGTCAATATTTTGTCCGTGGAATCCTTCAATATTTTAAGTTGAGGCTTGAATTTTTTCTTCAGTTCTTTCAGCTTGAGAAATGCTGAGCAGATTCTTCTCTTTTGGTTTTCTAACTCCAGATCTTTGCACATTTCTTTATAATACATGACTTTGTTTTCTCAATATACCCTTTGAAATTTTGTGTTAAGATCTTTTACTTCCTCATGTCTTCCATTTACTTCAGCATCTCTATGCTAAAGAGCAAGTTTTAAAGTCTCTTCTCACATTCACTTTGGTCTTTTCTTTCTTACCCATTTGTTAATAATACTTTGCTTTCTTCCCATATGATGTTGTTGGTGTCATCCCACAACTCTCTGGTTTTCAGTCATTAGTATCTAATGTATCAAATCTATTCCTGAGATGGTCCCTAAACTTGGGTAGGATATGTTCAAGGTTGTATTTTGGGTCTTGTGAACTTGTTTTGATTTTCTTCAGCTTCAGCCTGAACTTGCAGATGAGTAATTGATTGTCTGTTCCACAGTCTGCCCCTAATCTGGTTTTGGCTGATGATACAGAACTTTTCCACTGTTTCTTCCCACAGATATATTCAATTTGATTTCTGTATATCCCATCTGGTGAAGTCCATGTGTACAATCATCCTTAATGTTGTTTTTAAAAAAAGATATTTGAAATGAAGAAGTCATTGGTCTCAAAAAATTCTATCATGCGATCTGCAGCATCATATCTGTCACAAAGGCCATATTTTCCAACTATTGATCCTTCTTCTTTGTTCCAAACCTTTGCATTTCAGTCACCAACAATTATAACTACATCTTGATAGTATGCTTGATCATTTCACACTGAAAAACTTGGTAGAATTCTTCAGTATTTACATCACTGATTTTAGTGATTTAGTGACATCAACTGGTGCTCCTTTTAGATGTACAGATACTGTGCTGTCTCAGACAGCATTGTACTTCAAGATAAATCTTTAAATGTTATTTTTAATTGTGAATGCTACTACATCATTCCTCTTTGGTTTTCCTGGCTTCGGAAACCATATGATAGTCAGATTCAAAATGGCCAAGATCGGTCCATTTTAGCTCATTTATGCCTAGGAAATTTTTCTTTATGCATTCTATTTCATTTTTGACAGCTTCCAATTTTCCTAGATCCATACTTCATACATTCCATGTTCCTATTATTAGTGATGGTTTACAGGTGTTTCTCCTTTTTTTGAGTTGTGCACCATTAGCAAATATAGGTTCTGAAAGGTATTCTCCATTTGTGTCATTACAGTCAGCTTGACTTTGAGAAGTCAGCTCTTCCCCAGTCATATTCTGAGAGCCTTCCAACCAGAAGAGTCCATCTTCTGGCACTATGTCTGACAGCATGCTGGTGCTAATAATAATGTTTTTGTCTTCTGGCACTATAATTGACAATGTTCTGCTATTCATAAGAGTTTCAATGGCTAAACATTCAGAAGCACTCTGTCTGTACTTTTCCCTAATCTGTCTTAGTCTGGAAACTCAACTGAAACGTGTTGACATGGGTGACCCTGCTGGTATTTCACATACAGGTGGCATAGCTTCCAGCCTCCCAGCAGCACACAAATCACCACAAACTGATAGACAGGATCTTGACTTTTATCATTGCTATTTGTTAAGTGCTGCTATTAGTTTTTGTTTTTTTCTTTGATCTAATAGTTTAGACAGTTCATATTTCCTCTTTTCTTTTCAAAACTCTTTTATATTAAGAAAATTAGTTTGTGTCTATTCTAGAATTTTACAAATATTGGCCCCTGCTTTTTTGAGTTTTCAATTTTTGTCATGCAAAATTTTGTGTTTATGTAGTCGAATTTACCTATATTTTTCTTTATAGCTTATAAGCTTTTAATTAAGGTCAAACTCCTCCTATATTGTTAAGTTTTGTTTGTTTGCTTGCTTGTTTCACATGTTTGGATATAACTGGTTTTCTGAAGCAGATTAAGCCATTTCTTTACATTTTACTTGTGCTATGATAAAGTTTGTCAAATTATTTTCTACTTGGAATTCATAAGCAAACTACTGCCTCACCTGGATCTGACATCATTATTCTGTAATTAGTGGCATCTGAGTTCACAGAGAACTGGGCTTTAAAATGCCAACAAGTGACTTCTCAGCAACGCAAACATTCTGCCATGATTGCTTCTCTTTAGTCAAGGGCAGGCGGGAGTTGGACTAGCTTTTCCTTCAGATAGTATGTCTATAGAAACATGTCATAACCTGTATGATAAACTCGACTTTTTTTTTCTCAATCTTTAACTTTTTTTCCTCAGGAAAGCCCATCAGACCTCAGTGTCATTAACTAAAAAAAAAAAAAAAAAAGATGGTTATTTGAACAGAACAGGGCAGCAGAAAGTGCAGAAGTTTAGTTCACATACAGAAAGATAGAATGAATGGTTAGATGATAGTAGGTAGATGGATGCATGCATGGATGATGACAGATAGATACATAGATGTTGTTTTTAGGTTTCACTGAGTTGATTCCAACTTATAGAGACCCAGTGTGACAGAGTAGATAATTGGATGGATAATGGGTAGATAAATGGATAGAAGGATGGATGAATGGATGGGTGGGTGGATGTATGAATGTATGTATGGATGGATGTGTGAATGGATGGATGGATGGATGACAACTAGACAGACACATAGATATGTAGAGATATGTTTTTAAGTTTCATTGAGTTGATTCCAACTCATAGAGACCCAATGTGACAGGGTAGATCACTGGATGGATAATGGGTAGGTAAATAGATAGATGGATGGATGAACAGATGGGTGGGTGGATATATTAAGGTATGTATGTATGTACGTACATACGTATGTATGTATGTACGTACATACGTATGTATGTATGTAAGTATGGATGGATGAATGGATGGATGAATGGGTGGATGGATGGATCGATGACAGATAGATAGATACACAGATATGTAGACAGATGTTTTTAGGTTTCATTGAGTTGATTCCAACTCATAGAGACCCAATGTGACAGAGTAGAACTGCTCCATAGAGTTCCCTAGGTTCTAGACTTTTTGTAAGAATATCATCATATCTTTCTCCCATAGAGCCGCTGGATGGATTTGGATCTCCAACCTTTCAGTTAGCAGCCAAACACACAACCATTTCATCACAAAGGCTCCCAGATAGTTAGAAAAATAGAGCGAGAGAGAGAGATTAGATGGTAGATATAACCATATCAAGATATGGCCACATTCAAAACGTTAACAGATTCAAAAAATATTGCCACCCTGTAAGAACCTTTTGAATCCTCCATTTAAATTTTTAGTTACCTTCTACGTGAGGATTTGGGGAAAGCAAGCACAGTAAATGTAGGGTAGGGGGAAGATGTCAGGAACATTTCCTGAAGAAAAAGTATAGTTCAAAAGGGAAACAAAGATCCTGGTGTATTTTATAGCAATGTTTGTGTTACATTTATTAATTTTATTCTGTTTCCCTACAGGTTTAAATGTTTAATTGGCTACTTGGCAACTGATCAAAGAACACAGAATGAATAACTCCACAAACTCCTCTAGCAATGGTGTGGCTCTCACCAGCCCTTATAAGACCTTTGAAGTGGTTTTTATTGTACTGGTGGCTGGATCCCTGAGCTTGGTGACTATTATTGGGAACATCCTGGTCATGGTCTCCATTAAAGTCAATCGTCACCTTCAGACCGTCAACAATTACTTCTTGTTCAGCTTGGCCTGTGCTGACCTCATCATAGGTGTTTTCTCCATGAACTTGTATACCCTCTACACTGTGATTGGCTACTGGCCTTTGGGACCTGTGGTGTGTGACCTCTGGCTAGCCCTGGACTATGTGGTCAGCAATGCTTCAGTGATGAATCTGCTCATCATCAGCTTTGACAGATACTTCTGCGTCACCAAGCCTCTGACCTACCCTGTCAAGCGGACCACCAAAATGGCGGGCATGATGATTGCCGCTGCCTGGGTCCTCTCCTTCATCCTCTGGGCCCCAGCCATTCTCTTCTGGCAGTTCATCGTAGGGGTGAGAACTGTAGAGGATGGTGAATGCTACATTCAATTTTTCTCCAATGCCGCCGTCACCTTTGGCACGGCCATCGCAGCTTTCTATTTGCCAGTGATCATTATGGCTGTGCTATACTGGCACATCTCCCGAGCCAGCAAGAGCAGGATAAAGAAGGACAAGAAGGAACCTGCGGCCAGCCAAGATCCAGTTTCTCCAAGTCTGGTGCAAGGGAGGATAGTGAAACCAAACAACAACAACATGCCTAGCAGTGATGATGGCCTAGAGCACAACAAAATCCAGAATGGCAAAGCCCCCAGAGATGCCGTGATGGAAAACTGTGTCCAGGGAGAGGAAAAGGAGAGCTCCAATGATTCTACCTCTGTCAGTGCTGTCGCCTCAAACATGAGAGATGATGAAATAACCCAGGATGAAAATACAATCTCCACTTCCCTGGGCCTTTCCAAAGAAGAGAACTCTAAGCAAACGTGCATCAAAACTGGCACCAAGACCCACAAAGGGGATTCGTGTAATGCCACTAATGCCACCGTGGAACTAGTTGCTTCTGCCGGTCAGAATGGGGATGAAAAGCAGAACATAGTAGCCCGCAAAATCGTGAAGATAACAAAGCAGCCTGCCAAGAAGAAGCCTCCTCCTTCTCGGGAAAAGAAAGTGACTAGGACAATCTTGGCCATTCTGTTGGCTTTCATCATCACCTGGGCCCCATACAATGTCATGGTGCTCATTAACACCTTCTGTGCACCCTGCATCCCAAACACCGTGTGGACAATTGGCTATTGGCTCTGTTACATCAACAGCACCATCAACCCTGCCTGCTATGCGCTTTGTAATGCCACCTTCAAGAAGACCTTCAAACACCTTCTCATGTGTCATTACAAGAACATAGGAGCCACGAGGTAAACCCTATTTGAAATGAAGGAAGATAGGTCAAGGGGACTTGTGGAGAATGAAGGAATACAACAGCTCCTGGTTTTAAAATATCTGCCATTGTACTTCATAGTATTATGATGGTACGCAATTAAGGAGCCCAATAATGACATCTTATCACGCTTCAGCTCCAGAAATGAGCACCTTATGAACCTTGTCATTTTAGGAACAATGAGAGAATGAAAGAGACACATTGGATTGTAGATTTAAGGAACAATCTATACTTTCTTGTAGTCTCCTGAAGAAGGGCTTCTGAATCTACAATTTTTTCTGTCTCTGCACGTAGGATTATCCTTTTTTTTTCTTTCTTTCTTTCTTTGTATGTACCCATATGTCCCAGTGAGGATGAAATGCCACAATAACAAGCTACCATGGAGATTTAAACCATAAAGAGAGAGATACTATGCAATGCAGAGGTGACAAGAAATCAAGAAAGTCTATATATGGCTTCCAGAGTGTTGTGTCTACACTATTCTTTTGTTATGGTCTTATTTGGAGGATTACAATGTAACAAATGCTTTTTTTTTTTTTTTTTTCTTTTAAATTTTCTGTCTCCCACCTTCCAAAGGAAACAAGCAAGCACTAGGCCACATCATTTTTTTTTTTTTTTTCTTGTAACGGCATTTGTTTTTGTATGTCCTTGTTCTACATCATATATGGGAGAAGAATACAGGATATTAGCTGAATCCAGCCCGGAAACAGCCATGAAAATAGGCACATCACATCTGCTGCTGTGCCCTTTACAATCTTCGGGGTATGAGAGCCTATAAGGATTTAGTTCACTTTTTGATCCTTTATGTGAAAAGTTTTCACCAATCTGGTTTTCTCCTAAACTAGACTTTCATTTTCTCAGCAAACCCACCTAAAGCATGAATATGCTTCAGAAACCAAAGCCATTTGTAAAATCAAAGTTTGATCCAATTAAACAATGGTCATTCTAGTTGGAGAAAATCTACCAAGGCCAGGTGAATTTTGAAATGAGGAACTAGAGGGTTGGGAGGGCCTTCTATATCAAACCTGAAGCTGTGTGGCCCGGCATGAGCTGGGAACTTGTAAAACACAAAACTACTGATCTTTGACAGCAGTAAGAGGATGTGGTTTTATTCATTTGAAATCTTAAACACGATTAGGAAACCCACGTGGTACCAGTGACTTCTGGGTCTACCCTCTCTTCAATGCCTCTTAAAGGATGCCATGCCATCTCTCAAGTCAATGAGGTCTGGCACCGCCCTACGACTCAGTGGAGGGAAAAACCAAGAGTCATTTAAAAACAGTTACTGAAACCACATGTCCTATATTCCTCCGATTGTCAAGTCTCTTTAAGATTGTCTAGTTTCAAATTTCTCTTACTAATATAATTCTAGTCAGCTCTGTCATAGAAAATGTAGTGGATAACTAGATAGAGGCCACAAGAACTCAACAGAATCTAACAGAAGAACAGAGATGGCTATACCTGCATCATTTTTCACCATCTACCTAGGCCATAGAAAAAACACGACAGAAACTATAACGTAAATGGCCACTCTCCATAGGCTCTTGTCTGCATAGAGACTTCTCAATGACAATCCAGATATGTACAGAATCATGTTGATTCCCATGAACTATTTGTAGCTCTCATCTTTATTATTCTTAATTTATTCTATTAGCTATAGTTTTCCAATTAAATTTTCTAAAGATAGCCCAATCAATCAAAATTGAATTTATAAATGCCTTTTTTTAAATTGCAATTTTTTTTGCATTTTAGATTTATGGACTGATGCTATATCTCTTAGTAATACTGATGTGAGTTGCATGAAGAATCGGTGCCCATTAGACTTTAGCTCTTACTAGAATTCTTTTGATGGCATCACTGGCAGTTTAAAAAAAAAAAAAAAAAATCACAAGGGAAACAACAACAAAAACAGCAAATTGCTACCAATTATCATGCTGAGTTCACTCTTTGTAGAACTAACTTGTTTAAATAATTTCAGCCATTTGTTCCTCAACCCCTTCAGAATTGGTTCCGATAGATTCCTTTATGCTACAATTATTTCAATGGGATTGTTTTACATTTTAAATCTACATTTATTTTTTGCTTGTCTTCTGCAAATCAACTAATCAAATGAGTGTAAAGAACACTGTTGGGTTTTTAGGGTTGTTGAGTGCCCTGCTATCTCATTGTATCACTTGTTGTGCTAGTATGATGTTGAATCAGCTTCCATTGGGATGAACCCTTTGGATAGAAAGATTCAGGATTTGGGTCTTTTCTTGTTTACTCTAACAACCCAACACCACCATAGATCTAGGTGTATTTTACTCACCATTATCACCTCACCTTTCCCAGCGTCCCTCTGTCCCTGATCTTTACCACAACCACCCAGCAAAGAAACCAGCAAGTATTGAGGAGAATCTGATGGCACACTGACACACATGAGAATATTGTCAACTGTAATCCAAAAACAGGAAAGAACATTAAAAATGGTAGATGACTGGGAAGAAACAGGCACTGCTTCAACGATTTCACATTAACTATTGCTGGGGCTGTCTCGTTCAGTGGTTCTGGACCAGGGACAATTGTTTCCCCCTACACTCTGAGGGACACTTAGCAATGTGTAGAGATAATTTTGGCTTTCACAACTGGGAACTAGGAGTGAGTTTGTTGGCAACTAATGGGTAAAGTCAGATGATGTTGTTAAACATCCTATAATGTCCAGGATAGACCTTTCCAAGCAAGAATGATCAGGCTCAAATTGTCAATAATACTGAGGTTCAGAGACCCTGGAATTTTCTAGAGCTTGCTTTTCACAGATGGGAAAATAATCCCTTATTATAATCAGAATACTGATGCAAATTGCTCAGTCATTTGAAAAAATAAATGCTCACCAATTGTGTATCCAAAACACTGCCATCTATAGAATCTGATGGATTTGCAATTCACAGATTAGGAACACAGACCACATCTATATGTATAAAATGACCAGACTATGCTCGTTAGCTCATTATTACCAGCATCTCAATGACCAATTATGATTACCACAGAATCTGGGCAATCAAGCTTGTAGTGGTTGTCCATTAAAAAAGTTGTAATTGATAGGAACAGTTTCTAGCGGAGCTGCCAGTTTTTCTTTCAAAAAGATTAAAAGTCTGTTTCCTTTGTTTTCACTGGAAAGGTGAGTTTCTTTCAAGTCTTTATTTCTTCTCTCCTCATAGCAATAATGTAAATATTCCAGAGTGGTCTTACAAGAAGAGGAGATTAGGAATGTGGAAAAAGAAAGGAGGGTCCTTTAGCCAGTTCATTAATCACATGCTGACTCCCCAAATCTCCGACATAAAAAATTATGGGGGCTAAGTTTTCCCATTGAAATGTGGGAGCTGGGGTCCCACATTTGTCTATTCACCACTGTTCCCATAATAAAGAGCAGACACTGGGGGGAAGGACTGAGATAAGAATTCAACTAGTTGGCAATATATACTTAAAAACACAGTCTACTTTTACTTTCTCCTACTGAGTTTATCTTACTTAGTTTAGTTAGGAAGTCCTGGTGTGGTGCTGTGGTACAATGCACTGGACCACAAGGTCAGTTTGAACCGCAAGTTTGGCAGTTCAAATTTACCAGCCGCTCCTCAGAAACCCTATACAGGGTCGCTATGAGTTAGAATAGACTCAACAGCACTTAACAACAACAACAACACTTAGTACATTGTTAGTTGCCTCTTGCCCTCCCAGTTTAATCACATTCCTTTCCGCAACTATAGCAATGGCGTTGCAAATAGATTAGAAAAAAACCCAAAACTGAACGGCTTTCTGCAAAGTGTATCTTCAGCATGTATATACGATAACACGCCTCTGAAATTTGCTTCTCTTAAACAGGTGCATGCTGTGGCAGCATGTCCTGTGTGCAAATGTAATGTATCATCCTGGAATATGCTGTATGCGTAATATACATATTCTATAAATAAAGTATTATCATGTACAATAGAAAGACATATTTCTGTATGCAAATAAATATATTATACACAAAAGAGTCATATGTCACATGGTGTATGTTTCTTCAGAGTAGCAAGACCCCACCCATCTGCTGTCAAGTCCATGTCAATACCCAGAGACCCTCTGGGACAAGGTAGAGTCGCCCCAAGTGGTTTTCCAGGCTGAAATTCTTTACAGAAGCAGACAGTCATAGCTTTCTCTCAAGAATCAGCTGATGGGTTTGAACCACAGGCCTTTTGGTTGGCAGCAGCACACTGCACCACCATGGCTCCTTAGAGAACAAGAGAGGGTTCTACGTGCATGATTTTAGAAATAGATAAGCAAATAACAGTTGCTTATGGAGGAAAACATCCCAGAATGACCAAATCCTTCCCATCTTAATGTTAAAAGTGCTTCACAATGATGGCAATCCTGGCCTGAATTTTCAGTCTTTGTTGGAGGAGTAGATGAAGTCTTGCTGCCATTGTGACACAGAGGGACACCCCCACTCACCCACTCGCATTCCCCTCCCCCCCCTCCTCCTCTTGCTCCCGACTTCCCGGCTGAGACTTCCCACAGCTGTGTTGGTCCCCTGAGCTGATTGCAGGATGAGGCTGTGCCCACCCCATTCTCCTCCAGCCTCACTCTCCTCCAAATTAACTGATTTTTGTCAAATGCAAAACAATCATACTGAGAGGAAAAGGACGACCTTCAGGATGTTTTGGGGTCTGACAAACAAGGTATAAATTGCACGAGCTTGTATTTCATAAACCATCCTTTTCAACTTAGGTCTATACATTAAATACAACAATAATAATGATAATAATTTAGTATAGCACTGCAGAGAGCTCGGTAGTGCTGTAGGATAGGCTTTGATGGTTAACCACAAGGTCAGCAGTTCGAGCCCACCAGTCACTCTGTAGGAAAAAGATGAGACATTCTGCTCCTATAAACACTTACAGCCTCGGGGTCCCTGTACCAGGTTTCTAGGAGTCAGAACCGACTCAACAGCACATAACAAGAACAGCATGACACTTTGCATTTCCCTAAGAAGTTAGAAAATGGATCATTTATTTTTTGGTGTTCTCTGTTTTTTTCCTTGGCCAGTCTCTCCCATGCCCTGTTACCCACTCAGCTACTCACGTTCTCCAGAACACTGTCTTTGGCTCATTAGCTAAGTCCTTACCTTTAGCTCGTTGTCAATTAATATTGTTATATTAGTTGATATTAGGTTTGTAATCGCAACAGATGTTTGTGTTTTAATAGGAAATGCTTACAACCTAAACCTGGAGAAGATTTCTGTTACAGTTTTGATACACGATGACATGCAACGGGAAAGGCATTTTTCTGGTGAATTCTCGTCTTGTTGAAAATTTATGACAC